CTTCATATCGGAAAAATCATTTGAACTTCTGTCTGTTTGTCTTTCTGTCTGTCCATCTCAGTCTGTTCATATCTATCTATCTATCTATCTATCTATCTATCTATCTATCTATCTATCTATCTATATATATATATATATATATATAAATATATCTTAGTCTGTTCATTATCTATCTATCTATCTATCTATCTATCTATCTATCTATCTATCTATCTATCTATCTCAATCCCTTCATATCTATCTATCATAACCTCACGAGCGGAAAGTTATCTCTACGAAGCTTCATATCGGAAAAATCATTTGAACTTCTGTCTGTTTGTCTTTCGTCTGTCCATCTCAGTCTGTTCATATCTATCTATCTATCTATCTATCTATCTATCTATCTATCTATCTATCTTTCTCAGTCTGTCCTTATCTCTCTTTATGTGTATATATATATGTGTATATGTATAAGAAATAAACCCACACTTCCTCGGTTAGAAGTCGTCATACGGCATAGATTTGGCCTTGATTTTTTTTATCAATAACAGCAAACTTCCCCTATGTGCCACGTCTATTCCGGACGTAGGTGTTCACGGCTCTCCACAACTTCCTGTACTTTGTAGCTTATAGTAAGGTTTCTCATCATGCTTCTTTCTTTTTTGAGTTGTCCTCTCCACAATTTCCTGTTGCCTATTTTGTTCTTAATAAATTTTGTCTTTTTTTTATTTCTTCTAAACCTTGTTTCGCCATCCATTTAATCAAGCTAATTCTTCTTCTTCTTCTTCTTCTTCTTCTTCTTCTTCTTCTTCTTCTATGTGCCATGACCCTTCAGGACGTTCAAGATCATGGCTCTCCACAACTTCCTTTCCTTTGTAGCTCTTAATAAATTTTGTCTTTTCTTTATTTCTCCTAAACCCTGTTTCGCTATTTATTTACTCAAACTCATCATGCGTGTCATGCGCTGTTTTTCTCTGTCCTCCTTGAAATCAATCTGCCCTGAGAGTATCAGATTTTCCAAGCCATCCATCCTCATTATGTACCCCTTAAAAATTTCATTCGCCTAATCTTTGTTCAGCCAACCATTTACAACAGCTCGTCAGGTCGGTTATTCGCTGCTTTAATTTAGACTTGTGAGTGTCAAATTCTCCAAACCCTCATGCCGCATTAAGCGCCCTAGAAAAATGTGTCCTTACTGCTGCTATTTTCCCTAGAACTTCGTCGTTGCTTACATGTTCCGCCGTTGTATTCTCAGCATCCTCCTGTAGAACCATATTTCTGTCGCCTCAAGACTTTTCTTCACCTGCCACCTGTTAGGGGTAAATAGTCTATCTCCAAACAGGGGTGAACACATTATGAAAAAATAGAAATATATTTTTGTAGCAAAAAATTACCTTAAGTACATTTTCATGAAAATTTTCGAGGAATGCATTTTCATAAAATTACCAGAAATATATTTTCATAAAAAAATTGCCAGAAATACATTTTCATAAAAAAAAATTACCAGAATTCTATTTTCATAAAAAATTACCAGAAATATATTTTCATAAAAAAATTGCCAGAAATACATTTTCATAAAAATTACCAGAATTCTATTTTCATAAAAAATTACCAGAAATATATTTTCATAAATATTTACCAAAAAATACATTTTCATAAAGAAATGCCATAAATATATTTTCATAAAATATAACAAAAATACATTTTATTCAAAAAATACCAGAAATACATTTTCATAGAAAAATTGCCAGAAATACATTTTCATAAAAATTACCAGAATTCTATTTTCATAAAAAATTACCAGAAATATATTTTCATAAATATTTACCAAAAATACATTTTCATAAAGAAATGCCATAAATATATTTTCATAAAAATATAACAAAAATACATTTTATTCAAAAAATACCAGAAATACATTTTCATAGAAAAATTGCCAGAAATACATTTTCATAGAAAAATTGCCAGAAATACATTTTCATAAAAACAAAATTACCAGAAATACATTTTCATTTGTTCACATATATTGCAGTGTAGGTAATTAGGTTACAATAAAAATTTGTATTTTATATGAATACTAAGTTATGAAAACTGAGATGTACTAGAGTAGTGAGGGCCTAGCATAGATTCGGGGTGCACATCATAAATTGGTTTAGAGTACGAGACATTTGTACCGGCCCTGTGTATTATGGTACCCTATTGTCTACACTAGATTTTTAAATATTGAATTATATAACTTGATCACTATTTATCAGGACCACAACACTATGATACTACGTTATGAAAATCGAGATTTACTAGAGTAAGGGGGGGGTAAATAGATTCTCATGGAGACCCTTACACTGACCCTTCATATTATTATGTTATGATTTAAACACATGGGAGGAAACACCGTAAGGTCTCTGTACATTTTATAAACTAACAATTTGAGAATCTTAAACATTGACGGCTTTTGGCCATATCACGTTGAAACTCAGATTCTTGTACGATTTCCGAAGTTAAGCAAAGTCGAGTCGGGTCAGTACTTAGATCAGTGGTTTTCAACTAGGGTTTCACGGAACCCTAGCGTTCCGCCAGTAAAGCCCAGGGGTTCCGCTAGAAGTTACACAAGTCACACATGATTGACAGGAATTTTGAATTCTCCTGTGCAGATATGTGTGTTTAGGTACATCCACTAAATCAATAACAATGCAGTTTTCAACATCCTACTTGTGTGAATTTGGATTTTCAGCACAATTGCTGTCTGTGGAAGATAAACTTCGTGCGTGTCTGTCAAAAACACGACCCAATATTAAAGATTTGTGCAAGAAATATCAGGCTCAAGTTTCTCATTGAATTTTTAATGAAAATAAATTTAATCCATTTAAAATGAAGTTTTTTTTTTAAAACATGTGTAATAACCGTAGAAGCAAGATTAAAATTGCATATGGACGTCTACAATATTTTTACAGTTTGTCTTTGGATTTTTTGTTAATAAATCTGAAGATGAGTATTTTTATTTTATTTTAATAATTGAAAGGTTTTTTTTTTTTTGCATAAGACAATTACTTTATTGCAGGGGTTCCTCGAGAAACTGGAATATTTCCTTATCGTTCCGCTCCAGCAAAAAGGTTGAAAACCACTGACTTAGATGAATGACCATTTGGGTAATACGGGCAAATGTAAGCACGTGGGTCGAAACATTTACTGTAAGCTCCTCATACATCCTACAAGCGGTTTCAGAGCCTTAACGCCCTGAACGCTTACGGCCATATCACGTACGATCACCAAAGTTAAGCAACATCGACCATGGTCAGTACCTGCTTTGGGAATACCAGATGCTGTAAGCTTGGATGTGCGGGTGGTGTCACGGCTCGGAATTGGAAATCGGAGTGAGGCGTTCGAATTCCAGTAGGGTTCGTTATATTCACTTACGCGCAAATAATTTTAGGAAAGGTATGAATTCACCTCTTCTCCCTCCAGCTATGGGTTAATTAGTAGGTCTTGTATCAGTAAAAATCGTTATTATCTAAAAATATACTTACAATCTTAAAATATTCGCCGGCTTTAAATAACATGCAAAGGATTCATCCACCGTAAAAAATAAACAACCCCCACAAAAAAAAAAAAAACCCCAAAAACAACAAAAAAAAAAAATCCTAAAAACGAACAAAAAAAAAAAAACAAAAACAAAAAAAAGAAACAAAACAAAAAATCAATTGTATTTTGGCCTAAAACGTTCAGCTTACAAGCTCTGTTTTTACCTAATTGTATCTGATATTACGTTTTGTATATAGTCCTGACCTGGCATCTCGGCTTCAGTAAGTTACCCACCGCCGTAACGTTGCCTCGCTTTGCCTTTTCTATAAATACCTTCATGGTATTCGTTCGGATCAATCCTTCGCTAGGGTACCTAAACTTTATGAATTTAAACGCAGTACTAGATTGGCAGCTAGGTCTCATCCTTTTATAGTAGAATTGGCTAAATGCAACCGTAAATTCTATGCTAACAGTTTCTCGTACTTCTCACTTGTGGATCTCTTTTCTGGCTTCATGCTTCCCAACCAACATTAATCTTCAAAAATTTAAATGAAGCGTTAATCCTTATCTACTGTCTTCCTGATTCTTCTTCTTTTGTTTACGTTTTTTCATAATGTTTTCTGTTTTCTAATTCTTTCATACACAGTAACCCCTTGTGTCTTAGTGGCTTTATTGCCTTGCTTGGGGTGAATTCGATTAAAAAATACAGGATGCGGCAAAAGTAACACGCTTCTTATTTATTATCTTTTATTGAACAAAAATAATTTATAGCAGTTTAAGAAAATGTATAAATATTGTCACATCATTATTTACACTATTTATATTCAGGCTATTATCCTCATCTTTGTTGTTGTTATCAAAACGTTTCGACTGTTGTACCGTCCGGCCTTCATCAGGTGTATATCGATCTGTGTAACCTACAGGGAAAGGATTTCTGGGCTGAGAAGTTATCATTATTTACATTATTTATATTCGGAATATTGTCCTCATCTTTTCTGTTTTTATCACAACGTTTCGGTTGGTGTGCTCTCCGGCCTTCTTCAGCTACATGATTTGTTATGATTAACAAGCCATTGAAAAAAGTTTCCCTTCATGTTCAATACAACTCTGAAGGCAATCATCAACACCTCTACAAACCATTTGACACATTTCTACATTCATTTCAGAAAATTTATCAGAAATTGGTTGTTTGAATTCAGGGTTTCTCTAACGACCAACTGTGGGACAAGACCAGACAAGCCATAATCGAGATTGACATCAAGAAATGGCAATGAGAATAGATCGGCCACACACCCAGTAAGCCTGTTTCTAGTGTCACCAGGCCGACCCTTGACTGGAATCCACAAGGGAAGCGAAAAGTGGGTCGACCTAAAAAGTTTTGGCGCAGAAGTGTTGACGCATAGGTGAAGGCAGCCGGTACGACGTGGGCCGAGCTGAACGGGATCACCTGGAATCGCGTCCATTGGAGAGGTATCGCGGTGGCCCAATGTTTCCCAAGGAATCAAGAGGCATAATAAAATAAAAAAAGGAATTGTTATCGATATGAGTCTGTAAACAAGGTCTTTTAGCAGAAGAAAAAGTCTGGTGGTGTTAGGTCTGGTGATCTGCTTCATGTCGTCATATCCAGCTCAGGCTGTAAAAAGGGTGTTATATTTGTGTCCCCAATCCCTCGTATATTGTCAAAGTGTATGCATAAATGTATATATTGTCTGTATTTAGGAGGCAAATGTTCTTCAAGGCGAATGTTATTAAAGATAACAGACATTTTGTAACGATTAATTTTATTGATCGTCTTTTACAAATTGCGAATAATCCTATAATTTTTTATCTTTTTTTTTTCTTCATATCTCATTCTCTGGTGAAGCTTGAATAAAAGCGAAACATGTCAGATTTATAAACATTCCTTATCTTATTGCACACACCTACATACACACATATATATATATACACACACACAGAGAGAGGTTTAAACCTGTAACCAAGATCTTTCAGCGGATCACACAAGAAAAAGTCTGGTTATGTTAGGTCTGGTGATGGCCATTCAATTGCTTCATTTCATCCTGGCCACCGAGATATATATATATATATATATATATATATATATATTTATTTATTTTTTTTTTTCCTATAATTAAGTAATTCATCGTGTCTAGAAAAAAACTCAGCAGAATTCACTGGACGTTTAGTCCTAGATTTCGGGCTCATCAACAGTGCGTATCCACTACCGAGAATTGAAACCCGAACAGTTACGATAGGAATCAAACGCCATACCAACTGTACCAACGGGCCTCGGTGATGCGGGGCTAACGAATGAGACTTGATATAACGTCGATCGATCACATATTCCGTGGTTGAACTCATTACCGATAGGACTGTACCCTCAAGAACCACGACTACTATCCCCAAGCCGCTCCATCCAGAGCATTAGAAGCCGGTTCAAGCAAACATATACAAGTGATAGAAATTATTAGAAGGATTTGAGATAATTATAATTAAGTAATTCATCGAGTCCAGTGCTTTCTGTATTTTGTTGAGGTTTCTTCTAGACTCGATGAATTACTTAATTACCATTATCTCAAATCTTCCTAATTATTTCTATCACTTTCATATATATATATATATATATATATATATTGGGGTTGGACAAAATAATTGGAACACTTGTTAAATTCAAAGAAAATTTATTTAATATGGAGTTGGTCCACCTTTAGCCTCACAAACAACTTTAATATGTCTATGAATGGAATCATACAGCTTCCTGACTTCATCCAGAGAAATTTTCAGTCATTCTTCCATTAAAACCTTCTCCGGCTCTTTACCACACGACGGTGGAGGATAGCGGCTCCTAACTTGTTGCTCCAAAATGCACCACAAATGTTCAATAATATTGATATCTTGAGATTGGGGAGGCCACTCCATGTGTTCTAGCTCACTTTCATGTTCTTCATACCAATTCTTAACCACTCGAGCAGTTTGTATTGGAGCATTATCGTCTTGGAAGATGCAGTCACCATCAGGGAATAAAGTCTTGGACATTTGATGAACATGATATCCCAAAATGTTTAGATAATCTTTGCTGTTGATTCTACCATGCAGGGCAACTATTGGACTGAGACATTTCCATGATATGGCGGCCCAAACTATCTCTGATCCACCTCCATGCTTCACTGCTGGAAGAAGGCAATCAGAGTTGTAAGCTTCTTTGGGATGCCTCCATACATAAACTCACTCTGAAGTTGGGAAAAGAGAAAAACTGGACTTGTTTGAGAATATGACTTGCTTCCATTGGTCTGCAGACAAGGCATTGTGATCTCTGCACCACTTCAACCTCTTTTGAATGTTGCGAGTGGAGAGAAAAGGTTTCCTCACAATGGCTCTTCCATGATATGCAGCCTTATGGAGCTCACGGTGAACAGTTTTAGTAGAAACTAAACTATTCAGATGGTTATTCAACGCAGCAGTCACTTTGGCCGCATCTGTCCAATGATTTTTTGCCACATTGCATTTCAATGCACGTCAGTCCCTGTCAGTAAGTTTCCAAGTCCAGCCCGAATTGCTACGGTTGCTTGAGGTCTTGCCCTGTTTCTCGAATTGCATCAGTGTTCTTGATATGGTAGCTCTTGAAAAACCAAACAGTTCAGCAACCTTAGTGATCGAGGCTCCTGCCACGCGAGCTCCAACAATTTGCTCTTTTTCAAACTCGGAGAGGTCACGCATTTTGCTTAAATTTTACTAAATTCTAAAAATAAATAAGACAAAAACAGTAAATTAGATAAATAAATGAATTTACAATAGATATATTACGAAGTTTTAGTTAAAGTTCTTAATATAATAGGTCTTTGAAATATAGGAATAGATTTTGCAACTGTTCCAATTATTTTGTCCAACCCCTGTACATATATATATATATGTATATGTATGTATGTATTACGCACACACACACAAACATATATATATATATATTCGACTCTCCCGTCGAATTCAACATATGAGGGTCAAGCA